CACCTAGAAATTAAGAGCAGTTTAAATTCAGCATCTCTGAAAACCACTCAGACAAATTCAGCCCTGCTCTATTCCCTCCCTGTGTTAGTTAATAGTATCACAATTCACAGTCGATTTGTAATTTGAGTCATTTTAAGCTCTTTGTTTTCCTTAATCTCTCTACATTTAATTAATCACTAGGTGTGATAAATTATACCTTTTTAATATTGTCTAAAACCTACTGATTCTGCCCTGGTTCCTGCCCTTTATCCAGGCTATTGTAGTAGTCTCCTAAACTGTTATTCCCATTATAGCCTCCTGGCAGAATTTTTATCAAACACAAATGTTAAGTTACTTTCCTACCTAAAAAGTATCTTTTGTTACTTACCATGTAATGTTTCTTACAATCAAATCTCCTTATGTCCCAATCAGTATCCACCCCCAAGTTATATTCTGACTTCTATTACCATAGATTAAATTAGAACCTCTTATAAATGTAATCATACGGTATGTAATCGTTTGTCTCTAGTTCATCATTCAGATGATGTTTTACTCCTGTCTATGAGATTCATCCATGTTGCCTGTGGCAGTAGTTTGTCCTTTCTTGCTGTGTGGTATGTGAATATACCACAATGTACTTAGCCATTCTCACCTGATGATGGATATTTGAGTTGTTTCCAGTTTGGAGCTATTATAAATAATGTTGCTATGAATATTCTTTTGTATGTCTTTGGTGGATATATGCATCATTTTTAATGCCCCAGAGTGTAATTGATGAATCAGAGGGTATTAATTTCTCTTTAGCACTTTCTTACGTAACCGGTAGTCCTACTCTGAGTATCATTAACTTGAGTTTCTATTTGCTTCCTTGTTTTTACCTAGTTCACCCCCTTTAGCGACAGAAACTAAGTCTGAGAAATAGGAAACTCATACTTTCAAGGTCACAGACTTCCCCGTTTCCCATTATTTTTTTCAAAGTAATTGCTAGGGACACAGTAAAGGCATTCGTTCTTTAAGTGCCTTAACTTAGTTGTTAATGAGTACATCTGATTTGGGAAATGTTTAGTTTTTTTAAGCACTTAGCCCTTATCTGTTTTACTTTATCTTGCACTATTTCATCAAGTCTTTAAACAACCTAATCGCACTTCACAGTGATACAAAATACTCACTGCATTTTCAGTTATTGTAAAATTCTGAAAGTGATCCATCAGTGCCTAAATATCTCAGAGTAATCTGGGTTTGCTGGCTTGCTTTTGGTATTTTTTCTTGCTTAAATTTTTCTTTTTAACTGTATTTTGTGTTGAGTTGTATTAATTAAAATAATTGTTTAAACTCTGTTCTTTTTGCTCACCAATTTTCATTTCAGATGATAACATCTTTCAAAGTCCTATGATACATGAAGCTATACGAATGGGATTCAGTTTCAGAGACATTAAGAAAAAAATGGAGGAAAAAATTCAGACATCTGGGAGCAACTATAAATCATTGGAAGTTCTGGTTGCAGATTTAGTGAGTGCTCAGAAAGATAGTACAGAAGATGAATCAAGTCAGACTTCATTGCAGAAAGGTATGCCTGGTTAGTTTTAAAAAGCAAGTTACACCTAATAGTACTTCATTTTATATGGTTTCGTGACCCATTCATTTCCCTCCTCTCACATACCCCTTAGAATAAACAATTTTTTGACTTTTTATTATGAAAAATGTCAAGAAGCCCTGCCAATGTGGCCCAGTGGTTAAGCATCAACCTATGAACCAGGAAGTCATTGTTCGATTCTCGCTCAAGGCACATACCCCAGTTTCAGGCTCAATCCCCAGTGTGGGGTGTATAGGAGGCAGCCAATCAATGATTCTCTCTCATTGATATTTCTCTCCCTTTCCCTTCCTCTCTGAAAGCAATAAATATATTTTTTAAAATGTCAAACACACTCAAAAGTGGAGAGAACAGTATAATGACCCTGATGTACCCATCAACCAGCTTCAGTAATTACCAACACTTTTCTAATTTTGTTTCATTACTTCCCCCAGTGTGGTTTTGTTTGTTTGTTTGTTTGTTTGTTTTGTTGTTTGGGGTGTTTTATGGGTGTTTGTTTTTTGTTTTTTTTTGCTATAGTATTTCAAAGTAAATCCCAGATATTCTATATATTATTCACCTATAAATACTTAAATAAGTATCTAACAGATAAGGATTTTTTTAAATATATATTTTATTGATTTTTTTTTATGGAGAGGAAGGGAGAGGGATAGAGAGTTAGAAACATTGATGAGAGAGAAACATCGATCAGCTGCCTCCTGCACACCCGCTACTGGGGATGTGCCCGCAACCAAGGTATATGCCCTTAACTGGAATTGAACCTGGGACCTTTGAGTCCGCAGGCTGACGCTCTCTCCACTGAGCCAAACTGGTCAGGGCAAGGATTTTTTTATAATTAATCTTAATGCTATGTGTTAGTCTGCTTGAACTGATATAACAGAATACGATAGGCAGACAACAGACATTTCTCACAGTTCTGGAGGCTGGGAAGTCCAAGATCTAGGTGCAGGCAGATATGGTTCCTGATGAGGATTTTTTCCAAGCTTGCAAATGGCTGCCTTTTCTTTGTGTCCTCAATGGCTAAGAGCAAACACTCTGGTTTCTATTCCTCTTTATTATATACTAGAGGCCCGGTGCACAACATTCGTGCACTGGGCAAGGTCGGGGGGTCCCTCAGCCTAGCCTGTGCCCTCTCGCAGTCTGGGACTCCCAAGGGGTCCTTAGTGCTGCCGCAGAGGCGGGAGAGGTTCCCGCCAACACCGCTGTGCTCGCCAGCCTTGAGCCCAGCTTCTGGCTAAGCGGCACTCCCCCTGTGGGAGCACACTGACCACCAGGGGCAGCTCCTATGTTGGGCGCCTGCCCCTTGGTGGTTAGTGTGCGTCATATTGACCAGTCATGCAGCTGTTTGGTCGATTTGCATATTTGCTTTTTATTATATAGGATTTTCCTCTTGAACATATTTTTATTGATATCAGAGAGGAGAGGAAGGGAGAGGGAGAAGAAGAGGGAGAGAAAGATGGAAACATCAATGATGAGAGTCATTGATTGGCTACCTCCTGCACACCTCACATTGTGGATCCAGCCCCTAACCCAGGCATGTGCCCTGACCAGGAATCCAACTGTGACCTCCTAGTTCATAGGTCAACACTCAACCAACGAGCCACACTGGCCAGGCTATACTCTGTTTTCCATAAAGAACAACAAAGGCTAACTGTTATCATTGTTTGTAGAGTAAGTTTATATAGTTGAAACTGGATTTAGAGTGTTCTGTAACATTTCATATGAGATAAACATATAAAGGGGTCATATTACTAAATAGAGCTTGAATGAATGGCACCTTAATACTGTGCATCATATATAGAAAGTGTATTAAATAATGTAGAAGAGAAGCATATAACTCCTTTCAGGAAAAAAAAAAGTTTAAAAAAAATACAGGTTCCTCCTTTAAGGATGACAGCTATTCTAGCACTTGCCAGCCACACTGAGGGTTAAAGAAAAGGTATCAGATTGAATACATTTATTATAATCACTAGAGGTCTGGTGCCGAAAATTTGTGCATGGGTAGGGTCCCTAGGCCTGGCCAGCAATCAGAGCCAATCTGTGGGGCGATCGGAGCCCCCTGCTAGCACCTGCCTTGTCGGGCCTTGGGCCTGTGGACTGGGGGCAGCTCCTGTGTTGAGCATCTGCCCCCTGGTCATCAGTGCACATCATAGCGACCGGTTGTTCCACCAGTTGTTCTGCTGTTCGGTCGATTTGCATATTAGGCTTTTATTACATAGGATTTTTCTCTAAGCTCTTGACCACGTCTCCCAAAGGATGAGAATTTTTGTAGTACTAAATAAGCCTAAATATTTACTTCATTTTTTATGTTGAAGACCCTTGTGATCTTTAAGTTATTTCAGATGTCTTTGAAACATTACTCAAAGAATTATATGAGTCATAAAACAGTATAACATTAATGATTTTTAAAATTACATCAGTTGATGTAAAATATCCAGCAGAAAGCCTAAGACTCTTTTCCTAAAGATGCATTTATTTAAAATATGGAATAGCTCCACTTGCCTTAGCCATGGTAAAATAAATCATTTACTTTGTTATCTTTCTACTGCAGTAGAAATACAAGTGATTGTGTCACTTTTCTCTGTATCTTAACCACAACTCAAGGTATTTAAGTTTGAGAGTAAGTTGTTAGTTTTTATGTCTCAAGTTGTTGTGTGCAACAGAAGGATTTTGTAGGTTGCAATAGGAAGAGAGCAGTGGGTTCTTATTATCACAGAGACTACAAGCTAGGATGGTGGGAGAAGGAAGGTCTAAGCAATGGCAGCTCTTAGGGGCAGGGATTGCAATTTATTGGTTGACTTCTCTCCTTAGTCTCACTAAATTGAGAGGCAGGTAATTGATACTGGCTATTTTCTTATGCTAGGGTTGCTGCCTATTTCTCCTCCCAAAGGCTGGTGAAGAAAAACTGGCACTAAGAATCTTTTCATTCTAGCTTGGCCAGTGTGACTCAGTGGTTGAGCATGGACCCATGATCCAAGAGGTTTCTGGTTCAATTCCTGGTCAGGGCACATGTCTGGGTTGCAGGCTCAGTCAGCTGTAGGGGGCGTGCAGGAGGCAGCCAATCAATGTTTCTCTCTCATCAAATGTTTTAAGTCATTTAAAAATGCTTTTTTTAATTCTATACAGAATAGAAGGTGGGCCTAATTGAAGTAAAACAGGTAAAAAATTTTTTAGGAAAACTACAGTGCTACTGTTGCTTACTGAGAAATCCTAGATCAGCAGTTCTCAACCTGTGGGTTGAGACCCCTTGAGTGGTCTAACGACCCTTTCACAAGGGTCACCTAAGACCATCCTGCATATCAGATATTTACATTATGATACATAACAGTAGCAACATTACAGTTATGAAAAAGCAACAAAAATAATTTTATGGTTGGGTCACAACATGAGGAACTGTATTGAAAGGGCCAGAAGGTTGAGAACCATTGTCTTAGATTGAATACTAGATTTTATCCCAGTGGCTGTGTGACAGAAAAAGCCCCAGTAAGTAGTCTTCTAAAAATAGCATCAGCTGAAACTGGTTTGGCTCAGTGGATAGAGCGTCGGCCTGCGGACTAGGGGGTACCAGGTTCGATTCCGGTCAAGGGCATGTACCTGGGTTGCAGGCACACCCCCTGTGGGAGATGTGCAGGAGGCAGCTGATCGATGTTTCTCTCTCATCGATGTTTCTAACTCTCTATCTCTCTCCCTTCCAGCCCTAGCTGGTTTGGCTAAGTGGATAGAGCCATCAGCCTGAGGCCTGAAGGGTCCCAGGCTCGATCCCCAGTAGGAGGCATGCAGAAGGCTGCTGATCAGTGATTCTCTCTCATCATTGATGTTTCTATCTCTTCTCCCTTCCTCTCTCTGAAATCAATAAAAATATTTTTAAAAGATTTTTAAAAATAAAAATAATTACATAGTATGATATATAGTCCTTTACTTTGTCCTGGCCGGTGGTGCTCAGGAGGTCACAGTTAGATTTTAGGTCAGGGCACATGCCCAGATTGTGAGCTCAAACCCCAGGAGGGGGTATGCAGGAGGCAGACAATCAAATGATTCTCTCTCATCGTTGATGTTTCTATCTCTCCCTCTCCCTTCCTCTCTGAAATGAATAAAAATTTAGTTTTTAAAAATTACCCTATGTTTGAGCCTATAGTTTTGATTATGCCCAGATAGTTTCCTTTGAAGAAAAAGTAGATTAATCTTTTCTTACACTCCTAGGGAAACCTTTTTAAAGCATAAATCTCAACATATCGCTCTCCAAGTTAAAACCTTCACTGGCTCCCAGGGCCCTGAGGATCAAGTTCAAACTCCTTTACATGGGTTGCCAAATATTTCAGAATCAGGCTCCTCCTAACCTTCTATAGCCTTATTTCATGCTATTTCCTCTTCAAATTCTATTCCCAAGCCTTACCTGTGGACTTGTAGGTCCTGTTCTGTCTCTTCCTTACAGCCTACTTATGTCATTCTTCTACCTAGAACACCCTTCTTCCACTACCCCTGTCCCGCAAGGCCTCTCCCTCTCCTCAGTTTATTCCTACTCATCCTTTAGGACTCAGTTTAGGTATACTTTCCTCCAGAAGATCTTCTCTTTATGTGTTCAAACATGTACCCACCCTTCCTGTGTTCTTCATAACACATTGTAACTACTTTTATCATCAACTGTACTATAATTTCATGTTTACTTGGGTTCCTTACTTGTCTGTGAATGATCGGGGGCCCAAGGTCTGTATATATAATTGTTGTATCTCTAGTGCCTAGAACAGGGGTGGGCAAACTTTTTGACTCGAGGGCCACAATGGGTTCTTAAACTGGACCGGAGGGCCGGAACAAAAGCATGGATGGAGTGTTTGTGTGAACTAATATCAATTCAAAGTAAACATCATTACATAAAAGGGTACGGTCTTTTTTTCTTTTCTTTTTTTAGTTTTATTCATTTCAAACGGGCCGGATCCGGCCCGCGGGCCGTAGTGGGCCGTAGTTTGCCCACGGCTGGCCTAGAACCTAATTAAGTGTTCCGTAACTGTTGAATAAAATTAAACCACTATTTCCAAAACTTGTTTTCATAATAGTGTTCTCCACTATTGTTAAAAGGGATGCCATGAAAAAGGAGCTCTATAGTTAAGTAGGGAAATGCATTATGAATTTCTAAGAGGGGACAAAAACTATATTATACTTCTCTGAACTTGATAGCAGTGGTTTCCAAATGCGAGTAGGTTCAACCCCAAAATTTTTAGATTCAGTGAATGGAGCCTAGAAATCTATTGTTACAAATGCTTCAAGTGATTCTCATGTGAAGCAAGATTTGGAAATGATGGTATACAATGATTACAAAGATTATTAAAGTATGTAATGCATTTGGAATAGTGCCTAGCACATGGTAATAACTGCTATATTACTGTTAACTGCTGCTATTGTTAATTGTAGTTACATAACACCACAAAACACATTTTTGTGGCATATGTGTTAACATTTCACAAAACCTGGTTTGGGAAAGGCTGAATTAAGCAAAAACTTCAATACCACTCATATGCTGATGACACCCAACTTCTATTTCTAATGCTGACTTTTGACCTCAAGATTTGACTCCCCATTGGCCTACTAGACATTTTATATAGATGCACTAGACACCTCAAAAATAGCTTGAAAATCCCAAACCTGTACCTTCTCCTGTATTTCCTATTGGCATCATCATCCTCTTGTAAGCCACACGAGAAGTCTTGAAATCAACTATATTTCTTCTTACTTCCTCATCCCTCACCTCTAGGCAGTCACCAAATCCTACTTGTCCCACTCCTGGTTCATAGGTCGACACTCAACCACTGACCCACGCGGCACCATGCCCTTTCTATACTTTTGCGTAACCCCTGCTTCTCTGCCTTCTCTGCCTGGCAAATTGCTGGTCATGTTAAATGTCATTCCTCTACTTTCCACTCCCCCTCCCAGCAGTTGCTAACCCGTGAAACTTTCCCCAGTTAGTCTGAATAGAAGAACTTGTTCTCTCATCTTGTCCCTGAGCACTTTGTAGGTAACTTTATTATAGCATTTATCACTTTGTCCTTTGTGCTTACCTTTACTTCCTCCACTCATGTCCTTCTCTACTACTAGCATTCAGGCTACTTAAGAGCAAGCAGATGCCATGTGTGAGTCATCCTATCTCCTAACTTGATTAGTACCTGGCACATAGTAGGGGTTCAAATTGTTTCAATGAATTTAAACGACTAAGAAAGTCTATAATTAACTCATTTCTTTTCTTTTTTGCGCAGAGATTAGTGCTGAAGAACAGCTAAGGCTCCTGCAAGAGGAGAAGCTTTGCAAAATCTGTATGGATAGAAATATTGCTGTCGCGTTTATTCCTTGTGGACATCTGGTCACTTGTAAACAATGTGCTGAAGCAGTTGATAAATGTCCTATGTGCTACACAGTCATTACTTTCAAGCAAAAAATTTTTATGTCTTAATCTAACTACAGTAGCTGTGTTATATTCTTAATACTCTGATTGAATGTGTGATGTGAACCAAATTTAAATAATCAGCATTGAACTCCATTAGCATTTGCTACCAAGAAGAAAAATGTAAAACTGCAGTGTTGTAATTGGCAATCTAAAATTTGAATTTCTGGATTTTTCATAATATTAGCTATATTATCAATTTTTTTCTATTGAAACCCTAGGAGCCATCATATTATAACTGATCACAATGTGTATTTATAGTGCACTGACTTGGCTTCTAAGTGTAAGTGAATTAATCAACTCAATTTTTCATTCTTTTTCAAATAGGCTTAACATTCTGTGTAAACTTGGAGATTAGAGTTAATCTCCCCAATCACATAATTTGTTTTGTGTGAAAAGGGAATGAACTGTTCCACACTGGTGGAAAGATAGAGGTTATTTTTAGATGTTAGTCTTTGTGTTGTAGATTTTGTCTATTTTAATATTATACATACATACTTGGGTGGATGATTTTTAAAATATGATTTTGTCATTGTTAAAAGGGTATTTAAATGATAGCATGCCATCTAGCCTACGTGTATTGACATGGAAAGATGTCAAAGCTATAAATGTAAAATGCAAGTGGCAAAACACTGTGTATCAAATGAGCCAAATGAAGGTTGTATACGTTTTGCATGTGTATAGAACAAAAGATTTGGAAAGATGCACCAAACTGTTAAATATGGTTTCTCTTAAGGGGGGTGGGGGGTGTATCCAGAGGGGCTTTACCGGGGCCTGTCACTTTCTACTTTTTTTATTTTGTTCTGTTTGAATTTTTGTAAGTATATGTTACTTTTGTAATCAATTTTTAGAAAGTATTTTATGATTTAAAGGCTTAGGCATGTTCAAACACCTGCAAAACTACTTATTGCTCAGCTTTAGTTTTTCTAATCCAAGAAGACAGGGCAGTTAACCTTTTTGGTACCAATGTGAAATTTAAATGTCTTTATGTTTGTCCTGCTTTGTGGATGAAAAATCTTTCTGAGTGGTAGTTTTCTGACAGGTAGATCATGTCTTCTTCTCTTGTTTCAAAATAAATATTCCTGATTTTGTAAAATGAAATATAAAATATGTGTCAGATCTTCCAATTAATTAGTAAGGATTCATCCTTAATCCTTGCTAGTTTAAGCCTGCCTAAGTCACTTTACTAAAAGATCTTTGTTAACCCAGTATTTTAAACATCTGTCAGCTTATGTAGGTAAAAGTAGAAGCATGTTTGTATATTGCTTGTAGTTGTAGTGAAGGCTTTCCATGTTGAGATTGTCATATCATTTTGTATTGTAAAGTTTATGTGAGTTTTTACCGTTAGGGTGATTAAGATGTATATAGGACAAAATGTCAAGTCTTTCCTCTACCTAACTTTTTATTTTCTTGACTAATAATAGTAGTAGATAATTCTGAAATACATGTTCTCTTAAGATCCTTAAAAACCTCTTAGAAATTATAAAATATTGACAAGGAAAGAAGAACAGTTGTTTAAATATTAAAGATAAAATAAAACTTGAATAAGAATCAATATAGATAAAAAACAAAAGTTTTAAAATGCTTCATAGAACACCCAAGTTTTATATTACAAGATTCTCACAACAACCTGCTGTAGAGGTGAATGAGACATTTAACTACAGAGAAAAGTTGGCAAGTAAAACTTTTAAAAATTATAGTTGTATTTTCTAAGAGAAAGAGTATCTTCATTTTCCTCTAACCTCTGTTGATTACTACTTTTAGTGATATTCATTTTTAAATTGCACTGCAAATTTAAATGAGAATTTAAAAAATAATGACTGTCCTGGTTTTATTTTACTATTAGTTATATATTCATAAAATTTTACATGTGTAGTCTAAGATTTATATTTAAATTACAAGGGGAGGAAAGTGTTAAAGTTTGTAAACTGTGCTTTCAGGACATATCTGCTCCAAGTCAAGTAGTTAGTTCAATCTAGTTATTGGCCAAGGATTGAATTGTTTTAACATAAGGCTTTTCCTGTTCTGGGAGCCTCGGTCCATTAAAACTCTTCTTTTAAAACTTGTGTGTTTAGAATTAAGCAAGACCTTTTATTTCCCCGTGAGTTGTGAAATTTAATGCATGAAGCTGATGTGACTAACAAGTTTATTTTAAGAATTGTTTAGAAATGCAGTTGCTTCAGGTTCTTAAATCACTCAGCACTCCACCTTCTCATCAAAATTTTTTAAGACTTATCAATGTTTGTCTGTGTTCACACTATAAAAAGCACTGGATCCTTCCCATCTACTTGTGCAAAAAATGACCACTTGCAAGGTCAAAATATAACTGGATCCAAATGTCTGCTTCCCCCTTTCCCAGAATAGTTCTCAGTATCTACATGTAGACATTCCTTTTCTGTATGAATTTCTTGCTAAGATTTCCAATTGGTGACCACCAACTTACTACTTGTGGTCATATGAAGAGTCAAGTTTTGTAATAGTTACCTTTGTTTGTAATAATTTGGTATGCTGATCAAAAGCCTTGTCTTAATTTTTAAGAAATGTCTTTAGTGTTTATAAATTCCAGTTTATTAATTAATGGCTTTGTATTGCCTTCCCTGCTAGATTTGTTTTTTTGTGTGTGGTTTTGCTTTTTTTCCCTTTGGTTAGGGTCTAAGATGGGGTAGGGTGGTTGTAGTGAGTGTGCATAATGTGACCCTGCATATTATAATCTTTTCTTGTTATAATACTTAAATTTTGGTAGTTGTTTTCTCTTGTTTTCATTTTAGTGAATAAAATTGTTATTTTGAACTCTGAATGGGAGACTACCACCACAGCATTAGTTGCATGTATTGTACCCTTTAGATCCAAATCATTGTTTTATTTCCTGATTACTCAAGTGTTGCGTATGGGAGAAGGCAGTTGAGGGGTGGGAGAAATTGGATTGGTTGTGTATCATTTCCATTAGAGAAGTAAAATGAGAGAGAATATTTGACAGATGTAGTTATTTTTAGTGAAATCTTCTTTTTAAAGAAGAGGTTGTCATTTCTTCATCTGTGAAAATGAGAATAATACCTAACATAGTTATGAGAGTTCAAGGAGATCAGGTATGTAAAATACCTGCTATAAATGTTAATTCCCTTCCTAACACTGTTACCCTCCTGGTTTGCCTTTGACTCTGGAAATTTGAGCTAAAAGTTAGGTGATAACTCTTTCAGTGACTCTTCTTTGTTGTTTCTCATAGTTAAGATGTAAATTACAATAAAACAATAGGTCAAGTCCTTAAAATATTTACATTTCTTTTTTAAAAACTTGAAAATTTATCAAATTTAGGTGAACTTTCCAAATAGGAACAATTGGCTAATTCCCACCTTCATACTCAGTTTCAATTTGACCCATATACAGTACTTAGCACAATGTGAATTTCATTTGCAGCGTAATAGAATTAGAGGGGTCAAAGTTAGAAGTGACCTTAGAGAGCATCTAATTCTTCCCCCTCATTTTACAGATGAGGTAGTTGAGGCTCAAAGGTGAAGTGATTTGTTCAAAGTTCTATAGCTCATTAGTGGTAGCCCAGACTGGGACATAGTTTGAAGGTGAAAAACTTCAAGCTACCTTTCCTGGAAGGTATCAAAAGTTTATTTTTTCAACTATTCTTTCTTCTATACCATAACTTTTGTCACTACATATTAAATGACACTTTAATACAATAGGACAATCTTAAATACCTATATCTTCAAATTGTACAATACTACATTAATGTTTGGGTGGTAAGATTCTATTTTGAAGTCTAAAGTTTGCAGATTGTGTATAAGTGTATTTTGTCATTTTGTCTATACTTAGTTACAAATTTGTGTTTTTTATTTGATATAACAAAGGCTTTTATGTAATCTTTGTTAGAAGAGTTTGCATTTTTTTTTGTTACTGTTATACTTTATCTAACCTGAGAGAATGGCTGATTATTATGTCATTGTATTAGTGTTGTGAATAATCCTGTGAAATGTTTTGAAATAGAGTACTATATTTGTGAGTATAGCTTCTTTCCCATATAGTAGAAACCTTTCCATCAGTATGGAAAACTAAAAACATTACTTTCCACTGCATAATCTGGCAGTCATAGATTAAAGCTTATTTTTCTGTGAATAAAATGTATTGAATAAAGTACTATTCTTTAAAATGATGTTATTACTTTGTATATGTTGTACTTTTTCAGAAAAAAAAGAAAACAGCCCTTTTAAAAATACTAAAATATAACCTAAATACACCTTATGCCATTGTGCTAGGCATTAAGGTACACAGCAAGTCATCATTTAAAAAAAGAGACATCCATTTTCACATTAATTTATAGAATTCTATAAATGCATGAAAAGTCGGGGTTTTTTTGTTTTATATTGCTTTCAGAGAGGAAGGGAGAGGGAGGGCAGTTTTTAAAATATAAAAATATGAACCATAGTAACACTCCCCTCCCCACAAAGATTGGCCTGGTTGTCCCAAGAAATAGTATAATCACTGTAACAAAGCTTAAACAAGCAAGGGGCCTAAAAGCCACTGCGCCTTTGAAGCAGGTGGCAAGGAAGGATTTTTGTGAGTCTGTAGAGGCAGTGACCCAGAGAGTTTCAGAAGCTGCAAGCAATATGATGGGATAAAATGGGAGGGAATAAAGAATCCTTAAAGGCAGAGAGTTTAAAAGTAGGTATTTCAACTGGCTATTTCTTCTACCCAGTCCTGCCCAAAATGGAGTCCTAAATTAACAGTTGTATTTGAGGCCTAGTCTATTACAAGGACTATTGAGTCCTTGACTATATTATCTGAGATGACAATAATAATATTTTTAATTGATTTTAGAGAGAGAGCAAGATTGACTTGGTGTTCCATGTATTTATACATTCATTGGTTTTTATGTGCCCTGACTAGGGATTGAACCCATAACCTTGGCATATCAGGACAATGCTCTGACCAACTGAGCTACCTGGTCAGGGCCATAAGAACCTTTTTTAAATGCAGTCCACATTTTTTCTTACATGTCAACTATACTTTCAGTGAATATCAATGAAGATGTGAATTTTGAAAGCTTTTTCTTACAGAAATTTTCAAACTGACACGAAGTATAGTGAACTACATAACTCGTCATTCAGCTTCAACAAATACAAATATTTTGCCAATCCTGTTTTTTCTAGGACTCCCCCTCCCTTTTTATTTTTGCTGACATATCTGGAGCAAATTCTAGACATGTCATTTCCCCTGAATTACCTTACAGATCTATACCAAATTAGAACATTTTTTAGCCATAGCCGGTTTAGCTCCGTGGATAGAGCATCAGCCTGTGGACTGAAGGGTCCCAGGTTTGATTCCGGCCAAGGGCACATACCGGGTTGTGGGCTTGATCCCCAGTGTGGGGCATGCAGGAGGCAGCCAATCAATGATTCTCTGTCATCATTGATGTTTCTATCTCTCCCTCTCCCTCCCTTTCTGAAATCAATAAAGATACTTTTTAAAAAACCATTTTTATATAAATGTAAATTTTAACACTATTATTACTGAATTTTAATGGGCATCTAAAAAATTAAAATCAACTTTATTCCCTCTTCCCCTATTTGACTATTAAGATAAATAAACCCCCTCAAAACTGATACTATCATCTAAAGTTACTTTTAAACTAGGTTCTCACTATTTCATTTGTAGTTTGCTTATAGACTGTAGAGTAAATGTACATATGAAAAGTTAATAGGCTAACTGCATGGTATATGGGTACCTAATGGTTGGTTCTCAAAATGTTGTCCAGGGATCAGGAGCATCTGCATCACTTGGGAATTTGTTAGAAATGGAAATTGTTGGGCCCCATCTCAAACCTGCTGAATCAGAAACCTGGGTGTGACCCAGCAATCTTTTTTACAAACCCTCCAAGAGGTTTTGATGCAGGCTAAAGTTTGAAAGTCACTGGAATATGGTATGGGGTCAGGTCTGAATCCACAAAAAACTCAATGGTTGTAATCTGTAAATCAAATTGTTCTGCAAATGACTGTCATCCTCACATTTCTTTCCTTATAACTCATTGCTGATCTAGTCCTGTGTATTTTCTCCTGCTACCAAAACGTGAAGGCATAAAATGCAACACCCTGAATGTCCCCGCTGACTCTACTTTTTTGTTGTTGTTGGCAATATTATAGATGTCTCCCATTTTCTCCCTTTTTCCGCCTTCCACACAACCCCCAGCCCACCCCAGGCCTTCCCCGTGCTATTATCTGTCTATGGGTTATGCATATATGTTTTTCGGTTAGTCTCTTCCTGTCCCCTCCCTTTACCCCTGAGATCTGTTATTCTGTTGTATGCATCCATACTTTGATTGTACTTTTCAACAAAACTTTCCTGCATACAGTACTCTTTGAATTGTGTAATGAGAATCAATCTTCAGACCTTTCACTGCTGAATTCATAATAGCTCCACAGTACGCATTGTCATTAAACTAGACTCCAATCCAGCAATAAAAGAATTAAGTATTTGAAGACTCATAACTGCTAGTGAAACAATAATCAGTTGAAATTGTACAGACAGACCTGCACTTCTAGAAAGAGCCAAAGCTTCAGTGAAATGTGAGCAATTAACCTACAATGATAGAATTTAAGAGTTAGAAGGATCAGCCTATCTAATTCATAATAACAGTTCTGAATACTCTTTTAGATCTGAAAATTTTAAGTAACTGGCACAAAAGACTCAAAGAGAACTCATGAAGCAGTCTTCAAACTCTAAAAGGCCTTCAGAGTTGCATAAATCCATACTCAGGTCAATATTGGTCTCTAACTGTAACCAAAATAAAACTCTTAAGGTAGGTAAGGCTAGAAGATGAAGGTCAGTGGACCTAGTTTCCTTTTCCTGCAAACCACTAATTTGCTTATAACAAATATTAAATGACTAGTAATTCTAAAATCAGATTTTTAGCCCTAGCGGTTTGGCTCAGTGAGTAGAGTGTCAGCCTGCAGACTGAAGAGTCCCAGGTTCAATTCCAGCCAAGGGCATATGCCTGAGTTGTGGGCTCGATCCCCAGTGTGGGTGTGCAGGAGGCAGCCAATCAATGATTCTCTTTCATCATTGATGTTTCTATTTCCCTCTCCCTTCCTCTCTGAAATCAATAAAAATATATTTTTAAAAATAATAAAATAATTTTGATTGATTTTAGAGAGAGAAACATCGATCTGATGTTCAACTTATTTATGCATTCATTGGTTGCTTCTTGCATGTGCCCTGACCAAAGTTCTAACCCACAACCTTGGCATATTGAGACGACACTCTAACAAACAGCTACCTGGCCAGGGCTAACCATTTAGCTTTATATAGAGCTGGTCTGCATAGAGGTTTTTTCCCCCCAATATTATTCTGTTTAATTTGAGATTTCTAAGACTCTGTAGGCACCATAATTAATGACAACATAAGAAATCTTTTCATAGGTTTATACTTGTTAACTTCAGTATTATGAATAAATATTGGTTCAAAACAAATAAGGAATAAGAACCTCAAAGAAAGCAAACTTTATTTCCCCCTTTTAATTTCCCAGAATATAAATTTGGAAAAATAAATACAAAACTAGGGTACAATTGAGATGATAGTATTTCAGCAATGATCATGCTACAAAATCTAATTCTCGTTTCAATAAATTGTACAATTCCAAAAATAGATTTACATATAAAATTATAGATGTTCATTTGGTACATAAACTTTTATTTTGAGAGTTATTTTTCTTTAAGTTGTTGTGTTTCTTTAACTTTATTCTGTTACTAGGTACTAGAGATTTCTTTTTAATTCCATTAGCTTATATAAGGGGCTTTGCATTTTTGGCTAAAGCACCAAAAATATTTTTTTCATTAAATATTGGAATTTTGTTTGGCAGTGATTAGGTTCTGCTTCTGCCAAATACTGACAATTGTACTGAGAAAAAATTAAACAGGAGTATGTTCATGAACACTTGGCGTTTTAGAGGAACTTATATTAAAAATAAAAGTCCCCTGCCCTAGCCGGTTTAGCTCAGTGGATGGAGTGTCGGCCTGAGGACTGAAAGGTCCTAGGCTCGATTTTGGTTAGGGGCACATGCCCCGGTTGCAGGCTCAATTTCAGTGGGGGGGCATGCAGGAGGCAGCCAATCAATGATTCTCTGTCATCATTGATGTTTCTAGAGGTCGCCAGTTCAATTCCTGCTTAGGGCACATGCCCAGGTTACAGGCTCAATCCCCATTAGGGGGTGTGCAGGAGGCAGCTAATCAATGTTTCTCTCTCATCGATGTTTCTATCCCTCTTCCTCGCTCTCTAAAATCAATAAAAACATTAAATTGTTTTAAAAAAATAAAAAAGACCCCAAATCCCCCCATGAAGTTCATCTAAAGTAGAGAAAAACTTGCTAAAAATTATTTTTTTTAATTCTTTATTGTTGAAAGTATTACATAGGTCTCCTTTTTCCCCCATTGACCTCTCCCAGCCCGCTCCTGCCTTCCAGTACAGGCCCTGACCCCCCCCTATGATCTGTGTCCATTGGTTATGTTTATATGCATACAAGTCCTTTGGTTGATCTCTTCCCCTTCCCCCCTCTTCCCCCGCCTTCCCTCTGAGGTTTGACGGTCTGTTTGATGCTTCTATGTCTCTGGATCTATTTTTGTTCATCAGTTTATGTTGTTAAAAATTATTTTTATTAAGTAAACATTGTGCATGGATTTTCTAGTAGAAATTTAACAAAGGCCTGTGTTAATCATTAAGAGAATGACCTAACTCTTCTGGAAAAACCTGTTTTTCTTTCAACAGATTTTTGTTTGTTATTTGATTACTAAAAAGAATGTACTTTACTGTACTTTTACCTTTCTTGATTTTCTACTGTAAACTTTTCAGATAGATAATATTCCTATGTGACCTATAAGAATTAAGTACAAAGACCTATACTGAGTATTGAATTATAAATCAATATTTGGTAAGTTAGATGAAGTGTACCAAAAATATAGGGATAATAATCCTTGCTCCACCTACCTCAGAGGATTGTTGCAAGGATCATATGAGTAAATGTACATGAAAGAGCTTCAAAAAGTACAAACCCTCCATATAAGCTCAAGGAATCATTTCTCTAATTAGGGTTTACTGGGCTAATTATGGGTTAGTTTCACACAAAATGAAACAGTCATGGATCAGTATCTGATTAATCAGGGGTGTAT